GTGTAAGTGGTACTTTCTTAAAGGTTAGTTGCAGTGTGCAATCTGAACTTTCTGGATTCTGGTAATAAAGTCCATTGGACTGTTGAATAGCTTTTTTACCCATTTGGAAAATAGTGCTTCCCTGAGTTATTTGGGTCTTCCAAATATTTCATTATAAAGTATTTTTAATCACATTTATTTTTTTTAAGATTTTTATTTATTTATTGAGAGAGAGAGAGAGAGACTGGTAGAGAGAGAGAGCATGAGAGGGAGGACGGTCAGAAGGAGAAGCAGACTCCCTGCTAAGCAGGGAGCCCGATGCAGGACTCGATCCTGGGACTCCAGGATCATGACCTGAGCCAAAGGCAGTCGTTTAACCAACTGAGCCACCCAGGCACCCAATCACATTTTTAAATATCAGGTATATCTTGTCAGAAAAATCCTTATTGGGAAGTCTTGATCATGGAGGATTAAGCTTTCCAGAATTTTGTTTCACTTAAAAGCTCAAACTTTGTAAATGTTGGCAACAAATACTGCCAATTGTCTTCCTTGATGTAATAGGTTCACTTCACTTACTTTTGAGAAAGCGTCTGATAACCATGGTTTATCTGTCATCATTTTGTCAAGGGACAGTGGTGCTCCATGAAAAGATCTTTTGTGTTCTGGGTATCGTTCAGCTTTGCAGCCACCCACAGCCTCTTCCTGTGCCTCGCGTTCACGTGCCTCAGGGGGGGAATCTGATTGCATTAGTCAGCCATTATCTGACCCGAGGGCGGCCTGGCACAGAGCATGGCCACCCGCACAGAAGGAACCACTGCTGGCCGCTTACTTGGAGGAGACTTCCAGGCTAGTAAATACTCCAAGCACCATGTCCAGGATATGTACCATTAATGAATTAGCAAGGTAGTTTTTGATGCAGAGATGCAAATAGAGTGATGATGGTATGACAAGTTGAAAAAATGGATTTATAATTCGCTTTTTATAAGCACCCATTTGACAATACCTTGCTGAAAGACCCCCCCAAAAAAACCCATGTCCTTAAATTTGTGGTCACATTCTAGTACCACCTTTACTTCGTTTGGAGCATTAATTCTATTCTGAGGCTGCTATGGGACCATCTGTCCCAAAAATGTTCTTCAGTACAGTTTGAGTAGTTGTTACTATGAATGTTCTACCAATGTAAACACAGATTTTATTGCCTTTCACATTGATATTAATAAAAAGATGTTATTGTTAACAATTTTTCGTTGCTTTAAATGGGTGTCTTTCTCCTTCACAAGGGAGGAAAATCCCCCAAGGTCTGTAAAAATAATCATATCTAGTATTTTTATGTGTTAATAAATAATTAAGAGTCACTAGTCACTGATTTTGCAGGTTCACAGATTTTAAATGTGACTTTTATTACTTTTTTTAATTGACTTTCTTATTCTGATAGGAACAGAACAGCCTGTAAGAAAAATTTTCTGTATTTCTGCCATCTTGAGGTTTAGTAACTTTTCCTATTTGAAGTCCTGGAATTATTATATATGGTATAATGTACACTATAGATTTGGACCATGTATGTGAGAACATACCCACGAGTGAGCACTCATGAGCTCACAAGCAAGTTCCTTCAGTTAGCAAAGGGAAGAGTGGAAGCAGGCTGTTTTAGGAAAAAATATTGAGGCCTGAGTTCCCTCTTTCATTCATCCCTTGAGAGCATTAGGGGGTGGGGAGAGCAATGTATTTGGATTAATGAAAAAAACAAAAACAGCATCCCTATGAGGAAATGTAACCTGATACAATTTAAAGTAGGATCCAGACTGAAACAGAGTTCTTTTCGGGTGTGGAAATATTTTGTCACACAGTTGCCATCTAAATTTTAAAAGAAATCTAGACTTCCTTTCTTTTCTTACATCTTGATTTTGTTAAATCTTGTATTTCTTTGAGCCATATGTCCCAAGTAATTAAGTTATAAATATTATACAGAATAATTTGCATACATTCCAAATGCTTTTTAAATTTGAAGCAGCTTACCTTTCTTTCTAACACCACAGTCCTCACAAAGATGGGTTATCTCAGTTTCTCCAGTGACTTTATCCCAGCAATACACATTGTCCTGAGCTGTATGAGTGCACACTGCTGCACTCTGTCCCTGCCAGACAGCAGACAGAGTTTATTGTTTTGTTCCCTTTTTTTGAACGGAGCACTAAAGATGCCCTAGCACCTCCTTTAGCTTTCTGAACTGATAGGTATCAAGCAAAGCCTCACGGGCTGTTCTTGCTGAGTATTGTTAATGTTGCAGTACAGATTAAAATCTCAGAAAACCCCATTTATTATATACTTTATAGGTATGGATAGCTTTTATTGTTAATATCCTAAATCATCTAAAGGCTTGTTTTCTTTCTTTTTTTTACAGACCTAACTACCATAATGAATGCTGCATATTAAGAGAAACCACAAGAAGGTTATACATTTGGTTGTCTAATAATCTTGGATTTGATATGAACCAACACATATTCCTTGTTGTCACTGACAGAACCCCAGTTTGTATGTACATTATTCACATTCCTCTCTGTTGTGTTTGGGGGAAAAAAAGACATTTTAGCCTTTTTTAAGGTTATTGATTTAATTTCATGTTATTTGGTTGCATGAAGTTGCCCTTAACCACTAAGGATTATCAAGATTTTTGCACAGACTTATACATGTCTAGGATCCTTTTATCAAGGCAGTTACATTCATCATTCTCCTGCCTTTACTCCACTATCACCAGGCACCCCATTAAATATAAATTAGCATTTTTAAAAAAGGACCACTCAACATAATGCTTAAGGGATTTCCTCTCTGTGACAGAACCCAGGAACCAGTTCCTAAACACATAATGTTGGCATATTGAAGATGAAATTAAAATTGTCCTTCAGTTTTGAGGCCATGTGTAAAGTTTAATCATACTGTAAAATATCTATTCCGTATTAGAAATAGCTAGTCAACAGCTTATACTTCTCAAAACTCATATTGTTACGTACACAAACTCAGTTTTTATATGTGAAGTTAGTGAGTCTTTTGTGTTATTCCAAAATAAAGGCAATGATTTATTTTTTCCCCAATGCCAATACAATTTGAGCTAATCACTCAAGGTGGATAATTTACATTTTAAAGCTGGAATCAGCAGTAGCCCTATGGGAAACCAGACAAAGCATTGACTTTTAAATGAACCATTGTTTTCTTTTGGAACTAGAATTAGAATAGTTGATATTCATCCACAAACCATTATTATGTGTACATTATTGTTGCTATTGTGATAATAGAGAATTTTATTTATTTTTATGCCAGCTTATATTGTGAGAACACACTTAGTCAGTTTGGGTTTTATCAATCCTGTTATGCTTGTCCTTGGAACATCTTTCGCGTATTCGAGGTTTGTAGTTGAAAAATTTACTGTAAAAAAAAAAAATCAAAAACAAAAAAATGTATTGTTTTTACAGAATAAATTTATTGGAATGTGTACTGGGAGTAAGATTTGAGGTTGTAAACAACGAAGTTAGTGTAATTTGGCTTCATCTATGTAATGTGAGGTATTAATGTAATTCATATATTAAAGCAAAAATTGTTAACAGCAAATTGACAATAGAATCAAGTGCAGGTGAGGGTTTTCTTTTTCTTTCTTTCTTTTTTTTTTTTTAAACACTGTCTGGGTTTTAGGTTTTTTGTAAACATGGGGGAGGGAAAGGAATGGCTACACTATTGCTCGCACATCTCAGATAATATTTACCAGCTCAGTGGACCCTAAATTCACACACTTGACATTACCCATGCATTGGTTTCAATTCCCATTTTCTTTTTGTTTTCTTATTTTGGTGAGGAGCTAATAAATAACATGAAGAGAAAATGTGAGACGTTCTAAAAGCCCAGGGCCATTGAGGATGGGGCTGGTGCTGGTGGTTGGTGGTGGTGGTTACGGCAGCTGAGTGTATGAAAGCACCAGTCTGCTTACCCCTCTAGGGCACTGAGAAGGCGGCTGGATTTTTAGGTTGTTTCTCTCGCTTAACAAATATTAATTTTTCTCTATACTCATATTTCCAAATATGAAAAGTTCATTAAAAGATAGTAGGGATGCCACTCCAGTTCTTTTTCCTTGAAAAGTACTTTTTAATTTTGAGAGTTTTAATTCAATCTTAAATTAATGAAATTTAATTAATTCATCAAAAGTCCTCTTCATTGCTCACACTAAAACATAAGGAGAATGTAGATGACATTTTGAATTGGCACATGTAACTGACAGATTTTTAAAATAAAAATCCTAAAGACTACAAAACTGTTTCTGAAAAAAAATTACAAAATGTTTCAAATTTAATAAGATTTGTTTTCATAAAAGGCCAAAAAAAATTTATTAAAAATATACACAGAAATACAATAGAAATATTTCCAGTCACCAATAAAACTAGTATTCATTAAGAGTAATGATAAAGTTATCGATCCCTCCTTAGCTATTTAGACTCACAAAAAAATTTTATTAAAAGCAGTTCTTAAAACAGCAGTAAATAATATACTTTCCTTGGGAAAACATATTTCAAATAACATTTTAAAATATTGTGATGAGTTGCTTTTTATATTGAGGTTAATAATGACGCATATATATCTTATATGCCCAAAGTATCTCTCCAGTATGTATTTGCTGTTTGGAATTTTTTAATATGCATAGGCCATATTCACTTTTGAATAGTTCATTTTCATGCTCACTATTGTAGGAGCTAAGTTGTAATTGTTTACAGTTATATTTAATATGTGCAAACAGAATATTGAAATAGAAGGTCAAGCTTATTCACAAGTAATTTTGAATATATTTCTTTAAACAAGCTGTTTCTCAACTTCACTTTTCCTTCAAAAAATGAAAATTTACCCACACAAAACCATATGAGAGCTCACACATACAGTGCAGAGCAAGAATTTATGTATTCATAAGTATTCCTGAATAGGAAGGGAGTGAAATGGGACAAAATATCAGTACCAGGATAACAAAAGTCTGTAATCTAGAGAGGAAGAACATGAAATAATATCTTTATTCAACTTTTTCATCTGCCTTTGTTTTTATAAAGAACTCTGGTTTGTAGATACAACGATAGGCCAAGAGCTGAGGAAGAACTCCATATGCTATGTTTAATGCTAGAAAAAGGGTTTTCGCTTCTTCGGGGACTCTGTAGACATAAGCAGTTCTAGCATGAAGAGAAGCACCGATGTGAGAAAACTGAGCCTGTTGCATTTAAAGAAAAAGGGGGGAGGTAAGCATGAATTCTGTGTTCAGTTGGATTCACAGTGTGTTCTGGATGACTCATTCAGACCATGTTTCCTGTGCCCTCAAAACCAGTATTCTCTCAAACAATCCATAGTCTTCAGGATTTCACTGAATTTAGGGCCAGTCTTAACATAACTGTTCAAATAAAGTAAACCTTCCTTAGTGTGGCTTTATCACCCATCCAGTGCCCCTTACCAAACATTAGTGCTCAATTTAAAAAATTGAATAAAATCTCAGGGTTTTTTTCCTTCTGATTTGCATTCTGGAGATCTATACAGGCACTCATTGTGGCTTACTAAATGTGTTCCAATACAAATGAAGAAAGTACAGAGTTTAAAAAGTGAAAATATTTTTAATACAGCTATTTAAAGAGAAGCACTGAGGACCTCAGCTTCATTAATCAGTCTTTTTTACCTATTCCTTGCAACAAGAGCTCAAAGCCCTTCATTATATATTTTCTGTTTATTTCTTCATGTATTTTTTTTTATGCAACTTTAAAAAATACTAAGGGTTGTTTTGTAAGTAAGGTTGTTACCAACTTGGGTGGGGGTAGGACTGTGGTTGCTCTTTATAAAATGGTAAATGTACATGTAGGCAAATCAAATTCTAATTTATTTAGAAGTATGGCTTGTCAGCATAACCTGAGGCTAGAGCTTCCCATTTGTACTTATATACTTGTTCATAACGTACATTCAGAATGTATCTTTTTTGATACTTTTCATAAGCACAGGGGAAAACTGTATTAGAAAAGGCTTCTGTGTGAGGATTTCCTCAGGATTCTCATATTGTTACAAAATGCAACCCTGGAGTCTGGAAATCTAAGCTATATGTGAATAAAGGATTGGTTCTAAATATAACAAGTGATGAATTATTAGTTCATCAGGATCAAAGTAAAGAGAGAAGATATTATAACCTAAAGAAGTCACAGAATAAGAATGAAAAACTAATTTGCTTTAAATACGTATAAGTTCTTACACTTCCTTCTGTATGAAATCAGTTTATTCTGCTAAGTGGTTAACAGATAAAAGTTGTTCCTTAGCACTTGACTTTACCAAGAGAAGAAAAGGACAAGCTTTCATTGGCAGCATGTGTATGGATCTGTATCAGTGACAGGTACTTTAATAGGCTACATTTTTACAAATTACTGATACATTCTGGGGACCTCACAGTACAGTTTTGCTACTCTCTGGAGATAAAAAATTAGTGTGGCGTGTTACCAAGGACCAACACAGAAACTGTCCACCTCTGTCTGCACTGTGATCCATGAGGCTCCGTGAGGGCTCTGCCCTCAAGCACATGTCCCCCAGGCAGAGGCCCAGAGGGCACCCCACAGATGGTAAGCATTCCATCTCCGGGCTCTGAAGACAAACAGCCTTGTGAGTAAAGGGTACTGGAGAGGCTGCTCCAAGGAGCCGCTCTTGGGTAGTTCTAGGAGCACTGATCAGGAGCTTGGCCCCTGTTGCTGTCTTTCCCTCGGGCTTCTTTTGAATAACAGTGTTTTTCTGAATAGTATAACCAAACTTCTGGACTAGAGGCTAGATATGAACCTTGATCTTCAGAAATGTGGGTTTGGTGTCTTTGTCTTTATAGACACTTGTACACATGACAAAAATCACCAGGTTTGGGGAAATGCCAACCATACTTTGAGAGATTAATATGAGCAATCATGCCTACTTGCATAGGGAAACCTGCATAAAAAGTCAGTGATTCCGTAGGCTCTTTTCCTGCACTCCCCAGTGCAGTTAATACCTCATTTTCAAAAAACAGCAAAATCATGGCAACATTACAAAATGATCATGTCCTTAGATTAGATTGTAAGCCCACCGGGCAGGTACTGTGTCTAATGTTTTGTGTGGCGCCTCTCAAATTGTTAGAGCTCAATAAACATTAAACAACATTGGTCTTGTGACTGTCAAAGTACAGAAAGGTTCTACAAAGCATTTCTCTATTTTTATACCTATTTTGGTAGGCCTGCCTTCTCCAGAATTACCTATTTACATTTCTAATGCAAAGAGGTGTCTGCAGGTGAGAGAAGCCTAAGGCCAGTGTTCTGCGGTTTCTGGCAGTGCCTGCAGCTCTAACAGGTGTCTTTACAGTGGCCACACCTCCTGCTGAGTCAGCACCCAACCACTGCTTCCTCCCCAGGCTTCAGAAAAACCCCGTCTTGCTGAGAACGGTGCCCTCCCCCAGCACACAAGGCCTGCCGATGGAAGGACCGAGAGCTCAGCCTGGCACCTGGGTTTGTATCCAGGGGCTCTGGGCTCAGTGCCGCTGAGCTGACTGTCACCCAGGATCATAGGTACAACTTGTGGAGCCCAGAAACTTCTGCCAAGTTCAGTGATCTGACGTTGGGAGGCACTAATCCTCTTTCTTGCCATTCTAAATCAGCTTCCACCTCAAGTAAATTTACAAGATATGCTTTGACTTTTTTTTAATGGATGATTAGAATGGAAAATGAGGCAAAAAAAAAAAAAAAGCCAAGAACGGTTAAATTTTAATAGCTCCCTTTTCTTGTATTTAGAGACAACATGGAAAGGATGACTAAAAAATCATGATCTTGGTTCCAGAAAGAAGAGCTGAAAGAGTATCATGTGTCCACATAAGTATCATAGGCCAAAACTAATGCTGGAACAACAGCCAGGCTATTTGGCCGATACAATATAAGTAGTTAATCCAGAACTGTGTCACTTTTTAGGGTTTTCTGGGCAGCACAGTCCAGGGGTTAAGAACACTGCATCTGGAACCAGACCACCAGTGTCAGAGCCCATCTCTACTGGCAGTATGACCTTGGGTTAGGTATGTAACCTTTTTGGCTTCCTCATCTATAAAAGTAAGATAATAATGGAGCCTACCTCATAAGGATTGCTATGCCTGTTCAATGAGCTGATCTTTGTGGAGTGCTTAGGGCAGTGCCAAGAGAATCGCCTGTTCATGATCTGAAATTCTACTTTGTTGAGAACTCAGGTGGGCTCTTTGTTTTTAGATACCCTTGCTGACCTTTTTGACAATTTCAAGACAATCTGTCTCCACCAGAGGATAATCATGTGAAGACATTAAACCCAAAGTCTAATTTTAATATTAAATAAAGATGTTTTCTGATGAATTACACTTGAAGCAAACTATTAAAATAGGCTTTGCATTAGTATCCCAATTATCCATGTTCTTCCGAATTCTTTCAGGTATTTCCTAAAGGTTTCCATAAGGAAGAAAAACAAAAATTCGCCTCCAGGAGAGTCAACTCTACAACCAAATTACCCACAGATAAGCTTACAGACCCTTTTGTGAGGAAGTACACAGCATCCGCTGTAGCCAGGGAGTGGGAGAGTCTGAGCAGCGAGTGGGAAGGGGTGTTGCCCGACCCAGGGGGGACTGTTCCTGCTTCCAGGGCTGTGGGTGGCACTGGATGGGCAGCAGGCTCCCTGACAAACCCACTGCGAGTCTATCCCAAAGCTCTCTCCCAGTCTCTCTGATCTTTAGGTAATAATAACTGTTACACATATGGCTACAGATGAATGAATCTCCTGAGCAGCACAAGGCACTTCCTCTAGACTCCTGTTGGGAATCTTAAACCAACAAGAACAGCAACAAAGACCCACAGCGCATTCTGTGCCAGGCACTGTTGTAAGCCTTTTACATATATGCCCTTATTTAATCCCCTCCCAGCAGCTTTAGGAGAAAGCTCCTGTATTATCCTAACTTTCACAGCAGGGGAATCCAAGGTGGCGAAGGTCACGAGCTCCTCAGGGACAGGCTGAGATACGACACAGTCTCTCCAGTGCTCGTGCTCTTAATCATATTGACTAGATTATTTTCTTCTAATGTTCAGTGATATTTTAGCAGAGAAAAATTCTTCAGTTGCTAGAAGGTACTAATAAGTGGATCTAAGCAGGCTGCAATACTTTTCAAACTAGACTTGCAACTTCAATCCTACGATAGGAATTTTATAGGAAAAGACAATTGAGTTATGAATAAGTCCCCACTGGCTCTTTGGTGTAAAATGTGTCCTGGTTTTATTTGATTTTATTTTACTTTTTGATGGACGTTTTTGATTTCTGAAGACAGCAGATTTGGCAGATTCCTACAGAATCTGAAATCAGGGATCCAGTAAGAACTTAACACGTTTTCCATGGACTTGTACTGATCTAGAAATTTTTCAAAGATTTTTTTTCTTACTAAATCACAGAGAGTCTTGGGAGTTCACTAGGCCTTTCAAGAAATGCAAACTTTGATAAAGTTAGTGGGATCGTGAGTGCACAAAGCTTCTAAATGAGGAATGGCAGTTTTAGCAGGCGAGGGATGCAAGTTGGGTTAGGGAGGGTGTTTTCTGTGAGTGTCAGATGCCCTCCCAAGGCGAGAATTCTTTTCATAAGCCAGTATCGGCCAGGTAGAAAACCAATCACATACCTGGAATTCAACAGTCTCATCATGGGCACTTTGGTTCCAGTGTGATTTGTAACTTTTCCTTTGGTTAAACACTCTGAGTAGATAGATATTAAAGCCCAGCCCAGAGTCGTGGGACTGTCAGACACCCAGTTCTCAGATGACACCGTTCTGGGTTGGGAGAAACCTCCTCCTGACATTTGCAGGCTCTGGTCTGTAGCCTCCAGCTACCTTGTCAAACTGGGCAGTGGTGGATGAGCCCAAGGATTCCGGCAAGGCCTGGGGTCTGGCTGAAGCCCCTACTGCTGCCAAGGGCTCTACTGGCCCCACCGCCCTTCCCCGAACCGCCTGGCCGGAGCCACAGAGCCTGTCTGCAGGCCTGGCCCTCACCGGCAGGTACAGTCCGGGCTTAGTCTTAGTGCTATGGCTTCTGGCGCCCCTTGGCCCCCAAGGTGTGACCTTCCCAAGCCCCCTGACTGCCCACTGTCCGCCTGGCTCGGTCCAACAGTGGCCTCACTCTTGTCAGCCCCCTCGATGACAACGGTCCATGTTCCTGCAGCGGGGCCCACTATGGGGCAGACCCAGGTACAGGGCCTGGAGAGGGATGGCAACTGCGTCAAACTCTGAGCAAGCTCATCCTCCAGGGAAGGCACTGGTGAGAGTGAGGCTGGCAGGAGGCCCTCTCCCCTGGGGAGCGCGGAGACTAAGGCCAGGAAAACAAAAGCCAAGGCTTACTCCACCCTCTGACCTGCTGCCCGCGGCGACACCTAAACACGTCCCGGGCCTGACACAGCGCACGCTGCGTCCCCGCCTCCCACCCCCCAGAGGCTCTCCTGCTCCTCCAGGCCCATACGAGGTCTGGCTTCGAGGTCTGGCTTTGTGCCGTAGGCCCCCACCGCCCCTAACGTTGCGTGAGAAGAGTAAGGATATCAGTGGAGAAGAATGTGGGCATTGGGGTCAGACAGGATTCCAGATCCCTATTCTGCTATTTAGTAACTCTGACCCCAGGCAAGTAATAAACTGCCCTGAGCCTCTGCTTTCTTATCTTTTAAGTAAGGCTTTAAAAAAACAAAACAAGGGCGCCTGGGTGGCTCAGATGGTTAAGCGTCTGCCTTCGGCTCAGGTCATGATCCCAGGGTCCTGGGATGGAGTCCCGCATCGGGCTCCCTGCTCTTTGGGAGCCTGCTTCTCCCTCTGCTCTCTCTCTCTCCCTCTCTCTCTCTCTCCTCTGTCTCTCATGAATAAATAAATAAAATCTTTAAAAAAAACAAAACAAAACTGCAGGGGTAATGCTGTGCTTGTCACACTGTTTCTTCTGGGGCACACAGGAAGACCACATTCATCTGCTTCCCGTGCAGTCAGCTGGGTTGGTGCCAGGCCTGGCTCTTGAAAATATCCCACGTGATCTTTGCCCAGGCAAGAAAGAAGACTTCATTGTGTTAAGCCCCTGTGTATTTCCTACTCCAGCAGAGCACACAGCCCATCCTTACAGATAAGTAAGTACAACACTTAGCCTGCTTTGCCTCCCGTAAAGTAAGGTGAGAGTGCAGACCACTGTGGGACCATGAGCGTAAGCGCTGGGTTTGCAGATTCCTATGGAGACAGAACTAACTGGGCCTTGTGACGGGCTAGATGTAGGGGTGAGGGAATGGGAAGGGCTGTTTGCAGGGATGGTGGAAATGGGGGTAAGGTGTAGGGAAGGTCAGGAGTCCTATTTTAGACACTAACTCCAAGACAGCCAAGTGAAAAGACTGAGTCTGGGATTAGGCCTAGGAGTCTGGGAACAGTCTGGCCTAAAGACAGAAAATTGGAAGTCAGCTTATAGTTGGTATTGGAAGATATGGAAATAAAGGCTGAAACCCTGGCCTAAGGAATCGGCTATTCAGAGGTCTGCCAAGAGGGTAAATATTAGTTCTCTTCCCTCTTAAGTCCTTCAAGGAAAGAACAGGAACCCTTACTTCCGGATGCTGTACCAACTTTTTTGATACTAATACTCAAATTCTGTAATTGAGAATTACCTCAGACTGGGAAGAGCCTAAAGTATTAACCCATGAATCCTATAGCTGTTTTTCCAGCCTGTAAATGGCAGAGTGCTGTTGTACTGTCCCAGGTCCTGCACCATGACTAAAATTAACTGTATGTTCTGGCCGCTTCCACATGAGCCTCATTCTGAGGCCTGCTCGAAAAGAGCAAGATGCAAGAGAATGATTTTACAACATGGATTCATTTGTTTCTTTTTTATTTACAGTGAGAAGGGGGAAAAGATAAAATTATTTAATAATTTTCTTCCTTGTTCATAAGATCAGTTTGTCTTGCTGTTACCTTGTAAAAATGTACTTTGGGTAATAGTACACTTCCATAGATAATTGTATTTCCAGTTCAGTGAAATAAGCATTCACTGAACCCGTGCTCGAGGCCAGGGCCTTGACTGAGTAGCAGGGGGAAGGAATGGCATGACTGGGAACAGAATGTTCTCAAACCCAGTTTCCCTGGCTCAGTACAGTGCGGCACAACAGAATTCTGACATCTTCGGTGTGAGACAGACATCTCAAAGATGACGGCTCTCAATTCTTGTTTAGTAGCCATGGTGTTCAGAGACCGGGAGACAGCACTGGGCACCAACGGTGCCCCTTGCTGTGTGTGTGACCTGGGACACGCCATTAACCTCACTGGGCCTCAGCTTCCTCCCCTGTAGAGCTGGCTGCCACAGCTACCATGTAGTTATTGCAAGATCTGAATAACATGCATATGCAGAAATGTCTCCCAAAGAACTGCAGAAAAAAGGGGACAAGTCTAGGGCCTGCTTCCCACCCACCCTTAAACACCAAGCAGAGATGTTTCTCAGATTCTCGGCAATGACAGCCAGATCCCCAGCAGACGTTCTGAACAGAGCGTATGTTTAGTACCTGAGCTAGACCTCCGGCATGCATCAGTGTTATGTCAGGCATCCAGGAGCATCCAGGAACCACTAAGCCATAAAGCGCAGTCACAAAGTAAGGGACAGAATAGAACAGATAGGCCAGCATCTGCATTGAACAGAGAAATAACATCATCAGCAACTTCACAGCCTGGCCCGACGAAAAGCACCAAAGGTGAACATTTTTATCTCTGAGAATATTAACTCCCATTTCCTACATGGGTCCACACGTTCCCATTCTTAAAGAATGAACATTAATTTCAGAAAGACCATGGGCTTCATAACTACTTGACCTGGATTTTAGGATAAGCAGCAGGATCCTTTAGGTAGGGCTCTTGAAATTGCGTATAAAATCGGCAGAGCTCAGCTGGGCAATCCAAAGCAATCTGGGAACAAAAACGAATTCGTTATAAAGTTACAATCACATCTGATTCTCACCGTTTGCTGAGAGGGCTGAATGTTCCAGGTTCAGCCACAAGCTGTTTTGCTATTTAACAAAAACTGTGTATCATAGAAGCTCATCAGTGAAAGAAAAGAAATATTCTACAGATCTACTCGAAGGAGATGAAGAAGTTAACAGTAGAGCAGGAAATAACTAATGCTCTATTCTTGGGTACCTCCTAAGTATCTAGATTTCCACTGGCCAAAACACAGCTCATGCTAGATTACCAGTTTCACTTTTCCTGGGAATAAATAGCTAGCCAGCTGTTCTGCGGGAAGAAAAGCACATTCCTAGACCAAATTCATCTTACTATGCATTGCAGACTTTAAGAAACTGCCTCCTCCTCTCTCCAGTGGCTCACGGAGCACAGGGCCTTTGGGGGCAGTAGAGGGTGATCTGAAAGCAGGGTCCTCCTATGTGAAGCCACATCCCGTGTCCACTTTGAAAGGGAGCGGAGCAGAGTTGGTCACAGCAGGCTCTTGGCCACAGAAGAGACAGAGTCTCTCTGGCACGTAACCAGCCAGGTCCCCTCTGAGTCCCCTCCCTCCTGCATCACTCCTCATGTCCTTGGCCATAAATGCTGTCCCGTCTAGATAGCATCTGTGAACATGGGCCCGTGGCAGAGTTGGTAAAAAATGGGCCCAAACTTAAACGCCCGTCTGCAAAAGTCCCGCCCACATGCACACATCTTTCTGGTGCACAGAATGGATACGGCTATGCAAGAATACAGCTGGGGCTCATTTTTGTTGTTACTGTTGTTCTTTTCACTTTGGGAATTAGAGCAAACTAACCAAAGAACAGTTTTAAGGACGCCTGGCTGGCTCAGTCGGTAGCGTGTATGACTGTTGATCTCGGGGTCATGGGTTTAAGCCCCATGTTGGGCATGGAGATTCCTTAGGGGAAAAAAGCAGTTTTACTGCTCTGTGCTCTGAGCAAAGCCTACGGCTCTGCTTTCTCCTTTACATCCCTTCCCTGTGCCACTCCTCCTATTAGCTGACTCCACTCCAGGCAATGCCTGATTTACTGATGGAGACCGCTCTTAAGACAGCCTCTCGCTCTGAACCCAGCCAGCCACACAGAGTATATGGTTCAAAGACCCCAAGACAGTCAGCTACATCAGTTCACACTTGCCACTCGGCTCCCCAACTGTTGTGCAAGCCAGCAGGCTTAGAAGAGTAATTGTCACTGAGGCTGAATATAGTTACCCATATGATTCTGGCTGCTGAAATTCGTTTCCACTAAGAATAAATCATGAAACTAAGCATTGCAAAGGATCATCCATCAATAAAAATAGTAACAAGTGGGGCATCTGGGTGGCTCAGTCAGTTAAGTGTCTGCCTTCGGCTCAAGTCCCACGTCAGGCTCCTTGCTTGATGGGCAGCCTGCTTCTCCCTCACCACTGCTTGTGCTCTCTCTCTCTCGCACTTTCTCTCTCTCAAATAAATTAAATATTAAGAAAAAATAGTAACTAGTAACCCCATGTAGTGAACACTTACCACGTATAAGGCCCCCATAAGTGTTCGATGTTTATTCTCTTATTTAATCTTCAAACCAGCACCGTAAGATAGGTACTGTTATTTTATAGCAGAAGAAACTGAGGTCAAAGAGGTTAAGTCATTTTTCCAAGGCCACACAGCTGGTAAATAGCCAGGATCCTAACTCCTTACTCTGGGCCCTTCCTCAATGCCATGTCCCTACTCCGGGGAGCACAACGCAAGCCCTGTGCCACAGTGTCACTGGAGGCTTCAGGTACCACCCTTCCCAAAGATATTTACATTTAAATCAGAAACAGCAAAGAAACCAAAAGAATGAGACTCTATCAGCTAATTTTTCGGGCACCCTAACATCAGGGAAGGAAGAGACTTCCAGGTGGGCTTAATCCAAGGAGCTGAAGGAGGTGCATGTGGGAGAGTGGCAGCAAGTGGGGCCGGGTCTCCAGGCTCTAACAGGAGGAATGTTTTGTGAGGGCACTAGGAAGTCTGATTAAATATATGTTTTTCTTTTTTTAATGTTACTTCGATCTGTGATGCTTACCAAGCCTCTAAACAGACAAAATCCAGTTGCCAGGAGGAGACACATGACCAACATTAAATCAAATGGTCTTCTCAGCAGGTCCTTGGCTTGGACTTCTTGAATGACCTAAAATAAGAGTTCGTAACCAATGAGCAGGCCCAGAGTGCCAAAGAAGAATCTAAGAACTACTGACGCCTAAGCGCTATGGTGCTGGATGGGGAGAGAATTCAACAGACGGGTGATTCGTGTCATAAACCACTAGCCGCCTAACTTACGAAAATCATGTCCCGCCTCCTCTCTGCTTCCACTTTGCTCCTCTGTGAGATTGGGCTGGGTCATCCTGTAGGGCCCTTTGAGCTCTAAGAGTCGTATTTTTTTTCCTTGCAATAGGAGTTTTGTGATTATAAATGTAAGATATGTTCATTTTAAAAGTAAGGTAAACCATAAACCCAACCCACTATTAAGAGTCACTGTACTTTTCCAGAGCTAGCTATCTATCATCTATCTGATCTACATTTATTTTTTACAAAATTAAGACTTTACATATAGCCAATTGTGTATTTGTTCTTTGGACCCTTAACAGGTACCTATATTACAAGCACTTTCCCACATTATTAAAACTCTTCTAAAACGCAGTATCATGTGGAAGGACCATATTTCAGCCACTCTCACAGTGTTGGACATTTAAGGCACTTGCACTGTTAATGTGATGGTGAGCAATTCTGCGCAAAGATCTTTGACCGCATCTCTCTGGTGACCTTCCGAGGACAGGGCCTTCGACGTGAGATTACTAGGCTAAGGGGTTAAATTTGCTAAGCTTGATAACACCGCCAAATTGCCTTGCAGAGGGAGTCTGGATTTATGTTCCTATGAGCACTGTGTGACAATGTCTATTTCTCCCTGGCCATCACTGTGTTTGAACATTTAAAAAATGGTAACAGTTTCCTGTGTCTCACGGCATGAACAGTGTTGACACACTGACTGCGGAGACATTTTTAAAAGCCGTGGAGCCCAGGACGATGGGTACTGTTTGCTTTTTCTTCTTAACAACCACCTCGTTCCTCAAAAGGATGTCAGTGCGTCACCGGAGTGTGCACAGCAGGTGTCTCATTGTTTACAAATAAGGTGTTTGTAAATTACAATGCATTTTAAGGAATTCTGTAAATCTTATAGTCAACTGAATAATCATGTTCTGATGATCTGATGATCTGATGATTCGTATTTCCATATATCACTTTGCTTAAAGGATCTTGCTTAAGGATCTATTACCTATAAAAGGAAGAGAAACTTAGATGTTACTAGCTTAGAAATGAAGACCTTAACAGAGTACCTGCCCAGCCAGCATTGCTTCACCTTGACCACCTTGGCTGTGAATGGAAGGGAAGTGTCTCGGAAGACGTCCTGTAGCCAGTCTTCATGTGCCTGGATCCCTTGGTAAATTAGACCCTGAGGCTGTGTGTGCTACCCCGAACAGCAGGATCCCTCCAGCCTCCCCTTGTAAAGGCACTGGCATCTCTGCAAGAGGTACCCAGATGCTCAAACACCAGGGCATTAACAGCCCCAGACAAACCACACACTCCACACACTAAACAGGATCTGTTGGGACCCAGGGCACAGGAAGGTCCAGAAAGCACAGCCTGGCCGGTTGAAGCCAATGTATTCAGACAGAAACAGACCATCTCTGCCACTGTAACTAAGGTGTGACCAATGCACAGAATCAACGCAAACGGTCTGCCCCAGACCTCCAGTGCCCGGAGGCACAGTTTGATCCAGTAGCCGGGAGATGTGAGTGAGCCCCGTGAGTTTGGGAACAGGTTACAGTTAACATAATAAAATCACCTTTGAGGGATAATTATAATTTTCTGATGGCTGATTATAGATTCTGAAACCAGCCCAGACAGGAAGACAAGTATACGGTATGCTTAAGAAAAAAGCAGGGCAAATGCGGGTTCCATACTTCCCTATTTAAAAGAAAGAGAGAGAGAAAGTCAAAAGTTTGCCAAAAAGATCTCTAAACACCAGTAACATTGAGGACACCCACCTCAAGTCATTAACACTGTGCTGTTGGACCAGACATATTCTTCATGAGACCAAATGAAACAGGTCAATTTAAAACTACGAGGTGCTCATAAAACTACGAGGTGCTCATTACCAGGCATGTCCTAGCTACTGTATTTTTAAAGAATATTTGATATAATACCCTGCTTGTTGGCACACATAAATGATAACTTCTTTCACATTAGCTTTCGAGAGCCTTAGTTCTCAAATACATTTATCGAATGTGTCAAGAGTTACATATGATACAAAAAGTTGTAAGAAATATTTGCACACCGCAGGTAGCCACAGACACAAATACCCCCTCTAGATCCTAAATGTCAGGAATCGCTGATCGTCTAATCGTTCAGCATACACTTCTGAAAGTTGCTCAAAAGCATTTTTTAACAGGTGAAATGATGGAGATAAGGAAGGATTCTGCATAACCGCTTTTCAGTAAGCTTGGAATAACAAGCAAGACGGCTTCTCTGTTTACGAACACTCCCCCATTGTTTCAGAAGAGGAAAGTGAATGTTAAGATAAAGTTTCTTACCCACAATGTTTCCTGGCACAAAAACAACAATGCTCATGATAATAGATCCAACCCAGTAGAGGCCAATAGTTCTATAACTTTCCCTGCAACGAAAAAATGTCGGCTTAGTGCACTCGTCTTAGAATACTATTAGCAAAAGATGATCCACATGATTAGCATTATCCTAAGTAGTAAAGTGTACGAATCGCAAATTACTGAATCGATAGTAATCAATCAACTCTAAGGGGCCCTAGTCGTCAAATTTCATTTCCATCTGTGATATATTATAGAACCCTCTTTGTGTCCTTTGAATAGGAATTGTGCTTGCTGCCCTGATCATCTGTTAAACTACAACATGGTCAATCACGGTCCAAGGAGTCCTGCACCTCACTGTGTCCTATGAAACTCACTGCAGGAAAGGAAAAAGCTGGTTCAAAACAGAAGGGAAACTGGACCCATATTTTAAAGCATTGTAAGTATGAGTAACAGGTTGTTAAGTGGACTTTCCCTGGTGTCAGAATTGTGGCCAGAGCCCTAGCAATAAAGATCATAAGTGCCACCTAGCCCCAACAGGGCAGCTGGACACAGACCCTGAATCTTCATAGGCGAGGTTGACAAAAAGCTCTTTCAGCTGGTAGCCCTGCTACCCCACCTCCATAAGCGGCCATGAGAGATCACAGGGAGATTCTCTGAAGGGAAACAGAGGTGGACCTTCCTGCCTTGCCCCACCTCCCAAGCCAAGAGCTGCCACTTCCCAGGAGGCCAGTTCACAATGACTGGGATTGTCAGCAGGAGAACAAACAAGAATCTTCCACAGCAGAACTTCTCTAATGGAGCCAAAGAAACTCCAACTCACTCCTGGCCGCCTCCAAGCAGAATCCAGGCATTCTCCGAAATACCTGCCGTGTGCCCTGGAGGCTTGGGAACATTCATGAAGAGATAGGCTAGGACCTGAAGGAGTCCCAAACTCAGCTGGAGCTGTCCTTGAGCTCACGACTGAGGGGGCAGGGCTATGGGGCAAGGAGTTGGTCATGCTGAATTTCCACCTCATCTGGGACAAGAATGCATCATTTTCTCCAACCTGGAGCCACGGGAAGGCCTGGGGAGGTAGCTGGGCTTGAAAGGATCCTGCCACAAAGGGTACACGTTCTGGGTGACAGGGACGCCGGCAGAAAGCAGCTGTGGGTGTCCCACCAAGGGCGGGGAAGTCCCACGAACTCAGCCAGCAAGAGCATTGCTCACGTCAGGCCTCTGTGCCACGCACAGTCTCCTGGGGTAGGGGTCTCCGAAGAGCCCACGCCTGGGCTCCATACAACAAGCCTGGCAGAGCGGAACTGAGGGCACCGATCCCCAGAAACCAGAAATCGTCATGTAAGACTCTGCCCCTTTTTCTTTAGCCCCACGTGCATATACACACATCCCCGAGGATCCAGCTGCACACGAGACTGTCCTTCCTGGACAGCAGAGTCAGAAGCGTAAGGGGTCTGCCCAAGCTGTCCCCATGGCCGGGGATCATCCAAAGGGGACATGTTCAAAAGACAGCAGTGCCAGGAAAAGAACTTGTGTTGACCACATCTAACTCATGTCTGTGGAGCGTATCTTCACGTGCGTGTGTACCTGTTTGTGCCCCTGTCCCTCTGTCTGGTTTCCTTACATATGTGCGTATTGGCTGCTAAGCTGGCAAAGGGACACACCCGGCGGACAGACTGACTTACTCCCACGCTATGGCCGCCACCATCACCAGATACATTAGATAATGAGCAGAGCCGTCCCAGTAGCAGATCATGTGCCCGTACGCAGTGTTCAGATACGGTTCACCCTAAGGAAAGAGTAAAAGAGGAGTCTACTTTAAATAGGACTCAAACATCTCCACACAGGACACCAGACCTGTATTTCAAGTAAAATGGAACAGCAGAGCTGGCTTGTGTTCGTCTGCTAGGATGAACCTAGGCTCAGTCCCATGCAAGAATCCCATACAAACTTTACCCTGGAGCCGCCGTCGCCAGAGTCTGCCGTGGGATGGCCCCGAGCCTGCCTGGCCATCCTCTGGGTGATGCATGTGGACAGTGACGCCAGGCAGGTGGAATCGGGCAACCGTGGTTGCACAGCTAATGCACTGAGGCCAAGTCAAATCTGGGACCAAAGGTGCATTGGCTCTGGCCGGAGGGGGTGGCCGGAGAAGACTCTGCCCGCCACAGCCCCAGCTGCCCTGCATCATTCGCCTGCGTGCTGATCCCCAGGCTTGTTGGGCTGAGGCTGAGGAAGGCACATCTTGCCCACACCCGGGCACACAGACAAACAGGCACCCCACCCCCCTTGACCTTCCCAGCCACCCTGTGGGACCCACAACTCACTCCACTCTACAGATGAGGGAACAGGGTTCCAAGGGGTCACAGGACCAGCCTAAGGCCACATAGCGAATGCCTAGCACGGAGCATATCATCAAGAATAGCCACACTTCTCCTGAGAAATGTTTTAATTTTACGAACATGAGCTCATATGACGCACTACGTTTCCCTCTTCCAGACAGCTCCCGGAAAGTCACGGTCTAATTCGCAGGGGGGGTTAATGTCATTCTGACGCCCCCTCATTCTTTCTCCTCGCTCCCACGTTCATGCTCTCCTGCCTTGCGTCCCCCCGAGACGCCCTCAGTCCTGTCGGCAGCGGCCGAGAGGGGGCCCCCGCTGGAGCCCAACGCTCCCGGGGCAGGGATTGCTCTGTCATCACTCCCCACGCGTCCGATGGCATGAGGACCGTGGAGCAGGTAGGAGTACCGCGGCAGCTGGACTTCCGTGCCCGGGCCTGGCCCGCATCCCTTCTCCGACATGCTATGACTGGACATGACTTCATGGTTCATGCCTATGCACCTGGCCATCAAAGCCGGCCTCGCCTGGTGGTTTGATGGGTGTCTTTAACTGGACGGCCCTTTGAGGGCCCTCCAAACGCCCCTGAACTCCTTCCATTCCTCAGCTTCTGCCTTCCGCTGAGCCCCACCCAGCCTCCCGATGAACGGTGACAGCACCCAGCCCGCCTGGCTCAAAGCCACAGGGCCATTTTTGTCACTCCTCTCTCCTCTGCAGTCTGCGGGCAAGTCCAGTCAATTCTCTCTCTCTGAGGTCACTGCGGGCCACCCTCCCTGTCCGCACATGGCCCTGTTCAAGCCCTCAGTGCCCCTCACGGAGCCAGCCCCACACGGTCTCTCTGTCTCCCTCTCTTTCCAATCCACCTGCCAGATGAAGACTCATGAGGCCTGGCTCCTAACGCATCTCTTCCACTCAAAAGCCTCCCAAAGCTGGTGGCCGCCCACAGGCCCGGCCCCACCTCCCCTACCTGGCAGCCGGGCGCCCAGAACCTGGCCCTGCAGACCTTCCCAGAGCGACACCCCATCCCACCTTCTCATGCCTCACCCCTTGCCACCCTCAACACCTCAACCTCTGTGCCCTTTCAGCAGCCACCTCCTCCCCAAGGGCTCCTCCCCGAGAGCTCCCCACTCTTTGGACTCAGAGGTCCCAGGCTCTCCAGCTGTTCTGTCTGCCTCTTGGCTTCACAATCTGCTTCAGGGACTCTTCTGGCCACAGCCTCCAGAGGTCCGCTCACTCCACCCTCGGCCGTCTTCTCTCTCCCTTTTCTCCCGAGCAAGACTTCAGGTACCGTCTATACTCAGATGGCCCCCAAATTTCTGTCAGGAATGGTCCTCTGAGCTCAAGACCTGCAAAGCCCTGCCAACTTGGACATCTGCCAGGATGTCCCTCCACCACCTGAAACTCCACATGTCCCCAAATGGACTCAACATCATCCCTGCACACCTGAACCCTGGGCTGACCATGGGGAGACACCTGCCTTTTCTCACCTCCAAGCTCTTGATCAAGCCATCCCTTCTCCTTGGAATGCCCTCTACCCTCCTTGTCTATCTGGAAAATTTTTACCTTCCAATGTCATTGCCATTTGAAAAAATGCTAGAGCAGTGTCACTAATTCAATGAGGACTCCCCTGACTGCTTCCAGACCCAGTTCTTCCCTGCGTACAGGCTGACCTTGTTTTATTGCCCTTCACTTTACTGTGCATTGCAGACTTTGTGTTTTTTACAAACTGAAGGTTTGTGGCAACCCTGCGTCAAGCAAGTCTCCCGGGGCCATTTTTCCAACACCATTTACTCGCTGTGTGTCTCTGGGTCACATTTGAGTAATCCTGGCGATATTTCAAGCTTTTCCGTTATTATTATATTTGGGATGGTGATATGGGACTGGTGATCTCTGATGTTAATACTGTGACTGGGGGCCCCACGAACTGTACCCATATAAGATGGCGATTGATGGGTGTGGTCTGACTGCTTGGCCTACCTGCATCCCTCCCTCTCTCTCCCTGTCCTCGGCAAACTTCACTATTGTCTTATTTTAAGAAACTGCCACAGCCACCCCAAACCTTCAGCAACCACCATCCTGATCAGTCAGCAACCAGCGACATCACGGTAAAGACCCTCCACCAGCAAAAAGAGGAGGACTCGCTGAAAGCTCAGATAATAATCAAGTTTTTAGAAAAAAGTATTTTAGTATTAAGGTATGTATGGTTTTCAGACACAATGCTATTGTACACTTCATAGACTACCGTATAGTGTAACTATAACTTTTAGGTGCATCGGGAAGCCAAAAACTCCATGTGGCTTGCTTTATTGTGATATTTGCTTTCTTGCAACGTACCTGCACTATCTCCACAGTGTGCCCATACCCTGTGCCCAACTCCTGTCTGCGGGACTGAATTCCCCCGTCATCCCTCTAGTTTAATAACACCACCACTCTCCCAAAAGCAGGAAGCAAGAGGTCTTCTTGGACCTTACTCTCCCCATCACCCGCAGCTAATCCCTGAGTCCTACCCACTCCAAGCACTCAAAGCCTCTGAAATTCGTCCCTCCTCCCTACCTCCTGTGCTTGGCTCTGCCTAGGCCATGCTCAAGCCCTTGCTGGCCCTGCAAAAGCCTCCTGACTTGAGTCCCAGCTCTCAGCCCAGACACTCCCCTTCAAGCCCAACATTCCCAGAGCTGACTGCATTGTTCCCTGACTCAAATTCTTCCTTCAAATGTGAGATAAAATCCAAACTCCCTTTGCTTAACATATGAAGCATGCTGTTACTTGAAACACAGATGAAAACTGTACTTTCCTGTGTGACCTTGAGTAAGTTACTTAACTTCTCTGGGCCTGGATTCATCACACCACTAAAACAGGGAAAGAGGACTAGCTCTCTCAAGGGCAGGTAGCACTATAATATGACAGCAAGGGAAGGATCACCGCCATCAAATGGCTTCATTGTCTCGGTGTTCTCTAACACACGTAAGACCGACCTGGGCTTTCTGATGTAGTAATGTTTTAATAATAAGACACCAATACTAAATTCCTTTAGGGTATCTCATTTATATTAAATACAAGCAAAGGAAAAAGGTAGTGGACCAGGTATGAGGGAGGAGGTATCAGACGAAGATGCTGAAAAGAAGTGTCTCCCATGATCAAATCCTAACTTTCTGCTTCACTTTCCACATGAATAAACCACCTACGTCTGTGGCAGTAAAAGAAATACCACGGATCTTACCACCTTACACTAAATGTAGGGATTTCATCTTTCATCTCCGAACAACGGGACTTGGGGTGCTGACCCTTCGGCGTAAGGCTTACAGTCACTAAGCGATCCCATACCTCTCTCAAGTAGTGTGTCATGAACCCGTCAATGATTCCATCCTGTTCCAAGCCTATGATGAGGTTCACCACGCTGGTAAATCCGAAAACTGCATACACTAGAGCAAAGGAAGAAGGAGTTATTTATTTGTTTATATTTTTGTAAAGTAATCTCTACGCCCAATGTGGGGCTTGAACCCACAACCTCCAAGATCAAGAGTCACATGCCCCACCGACTGAGCCAGCCAGGCGCCCCAAGAAAGCAATAGTTTAAAAAGCAGTAGCTCAGGACTACTGAGCTTAGCAGCTTAGCAATGACTAAGAGCCTGGCATTCACCAAAAACGGTGACTTCGTCTTCATCTTTTCCAGAAGACACTGGGCACTGTCAAGATGGACTAACAGAAGGTCCCTCCTGTACAGAAGGACCCTGGCCTTTGTTATGGATCTCCGTGTCATTGCCCAAGCGCTCTCTCCGAGGAGACACCCACCAGGGGGACAGAATGACATACTCACCCACTAACTCTGTGCCACGGGATCCTACCAGGTCACCCCATCCATCCTCCACAACCTACCAGTGGCTGCCCGGGGCCACACCAGCATCCCACCTGCAGCCAGCTCGTCTGATGTTTGTCCTAGTCTACACTGAAGAGCCTGAAGACGGATGATGATGACTGATGGGCAAGTTGTAAGAAGAAAGGCCAGTGATTTTTAAAATGGGTACAAGATGGCACAATTGAATACAGAAGAAGCCAAGCCACAGCGTCTCAGAGAATCTCACTCAGGTTGTGAGAGTCTCCTAAATGGGCTTAAAGCTACCAGCAACACACAGCTACAGAATGATACGTTTTACATGGTAAGGGATCAACTTAGTGCATGTTAGTTTATCAATAAGGATGCATTTTCAAGCTGTACCCCATCAGAAACCATGTGGCGGGCACGGGTAGGACAAGAATTCGAAGGTGGACAGAAGAACAGCCATGATAAAATGGGGAGGTTACTTCCCAGAGAAGGGAAGCCAGCCTTGCCAAGTCTGCAGGCAAGCCCCCTGCGTTCACATCTTGCCCAGGATGCAAGGCCCACGCGTGCCCTGCCCTACAGACCCTGCCTTCCCATGCCTTCCAGGTCTGCTCCAGACCTTGCTGTCAGGATCAACCCCCGAATGTCCCCCGGGAAAGAAAGCGCTCAGCATCTGATCACTGAGGCTGACAGGAGTGTCGGATGCTGGGTCCAAGGCGACAAGCCCCGGCCCCAGGGCTGCAGTGTGCTCAAGCTAGGACATAGAGGAGAACAGAGGGCTGAGGGTATAGGAACAAGGGTGCTCAACCCTGGGGAACTGGGAGAGACCCAAGTCGGCTAAGCATGGACTCCGCGGAGTGAGGTGGATAGACAGCAGCAGCAGACCACTCTCGAAACCTGGGCTGGGGTCAGAGCAAAGACAGGTGGTGTGGGCCCAGAGAAATGATGTGGGCCTTGAACTCAGACAGGTCCAACTCATCTACCCACTGGCTGTCCAACCTTGGGCAAGTCACGTGATTTACCTAAGCTTCAGGGTCTTTTATATGCAAGTTGGGAGAAATTAGCTACTTACAATTCTTCTTTCCCTCCCCACCTTTGCCAAGATCCAAGGTGGGCAGAGAATATTCCCCATGCCATTGATGATGGACTCAGCCACACGACTGCCTTTGGCTACCGGAGTGTACATGGAAGTGACAGTGGCCAACTCCAAGTCTCCTCTGCCATGAGAAGGGCCCACCATGGGGAGCTGCTGGTCCAAGAACAAGGAGACACATGGGACAGCTCTGAACGTGACCCGCAGCCTGACGCACAAGAGTCCCAGCTAACCTGCAGACCCATGAGCACGGACACTAAATGTTTATACCCAAGACTTGGAAGTACCCGAAGTGTCCACTGATGGATGAATGGATAAAGAAGACAGGCATACACAAAATGGAATATGACTCAGCCATAAAAAAAGAAGGAAATCCTGCCATTTCCAACAACCTGGATGGACTCTGAGGGCATTGCGCTAAGCGAGATGAGTCAGCAGAGAAAGACCGAGACTGTATGATCTCCCTCAGGGACGTGGAAGCCAAACAAGCTGAACTCATAGAAACAGAGGCTGGAAGGGTGGTTGCAGGGCCGGCGAGTGGGGGACATGGGGGGACGCTGGTCAAACGTTACAGACTTCCAGTGATAAGATGAGTAAGTTGACAGCGTGGTGACTATGGTTAACAAGACTGCATTGTATACTAAATGTTCTCAGCACACGCCATAAAAAGGTAATTCTGTGAGGTGAGGGACCCTACGGCGAACAACCTCGTTGTGGTCACCATCTCACGGTGTAGCCGTGTATCACATCGTCACAGGGTAGACCTTACACCTGCCTGGTGTCAGACGTCAATTATATCTCAGTAAAGCTGCAGAAACATGGGAAATGCCTGTTGCTGCCGCAGGACACCGAGATCTGGGGGGTGTCTGATACGCAGCCTCACTAAAGCAGAAACTGAATGAGTAAAGGCGCAGCCCAGCTCTTGGCAGGGGAAGCGCTTGAAGGCGGGGAGGGCTTTGCTGGAGGCAGCGTGGCGCAAAGAAGAGCATAGCTTCGGGGGTCAATGCCGTTCTCACTATATGACCTTGCCCACGTGTCTTAGCGGGTCCAAGCCAGCTTCTTCATCTATAAGGGGAGGGCATTTGTTGCGAGGATTGAATAAGCTAATACTGCCACAGCGCTCCGGGCCACACCAGGCACACTGTAAGTGCTCGATCAGGGGTGTCTTCACTTATGTAATGTACGCGTGTACTTTTCAGGCATTGTTTAAGTATTTGACTAATATCATTGAATGTTTGTAGCAACCCTCCATGGGAAGCCCTGTTTTCCTCAGCGGACCGAGACACTGTACAGCTCAGTTCCATGCCAGGTGGGGGTGTGGGGCAAGAAGCAAGGGAAGGAGCCGCTGCAAGATTCGAGGGCAGAGGTCAGAGCACGGCTGGGGGTGGGGGTGAGGAACAGAGTGGCCTCCCGCTTGGCCCTGGCAGTGACCCTCCGCCATGATCCCTGCTGGGAAAGGGTGGGGTCCGTGGCTCAGAAGAGGTGTTCGTCTGGAGGGGAGGACTGCGTTGCCCTGAAATACTCCTCCGTTTCCTGCCACTTCCCCCGTGGGGCTCAGGGTACGGGAGACAGACTCCTTCTTCGTGGGGGAAGCGTGATGAAGGCGAAGGCCCAAGAGCTGCGCTGCGAGGTGGACACCAACCGTTTCCCTCCCATGGAGACGTACCATAGAACAGTGGGTCCCGGGGTGGTTTTCTTTTGACCAGGGCGCGAGCCAGCAGGGCTACCAGGAGCAAGATGAGGCCAGCAACCCCTACAATTGTCCAGGAACTGCAACGACCAGAACAGGGAGGCGGTCATTTATCGAAATAAACATGTTGATGCATGGAATTTCCTGGCTATTGAATGCATTCACCCCCACCTCTGCCTCTGCATCCAGTTCCAGTGCTGTGGGCTTAGCCAGGTTTCTCTTCAGTGCTTTGGCCCCTGCGGGCCACCCGTGTGACTTTCAAGGACTGGAAGCACCAGCTCCTCGCTCTTCCTGGCCTGCCCACCTGCACCCTCCACCCCCCCCCCGCCCCCCCCGCAAATGGCCCCCCCCCCCCCGCCCCTGTGTCCCCCCCCACCCCCACTCCTCCCAATCCCATTCCCCAGTGACTGACAGGCCTAACCACCAAATCCGCCACCTCCCTCAGAGCCAGCCAGAGACCTTTGGACTGAGCTCCAGGGAGCACAGAAGAGTCACAGCTACACACACCTTCCAGGAGGACCAGGATGTGTATAATCAAAGGGGCCAGAGGATGAGGCCAATCCAAGGAAGGAAGAGTTTGGGCCAGAGCTGCGGCCAGAAGGAAGCCAGCTCCCCACGCCCAGGGCAGCAAGCCAGAGTCCAACCCCGCACCTGGAAGGTAAGGTGAGGCTAGGGTGGGCACAGGAAAAAGACCCGATACCAAGGAGACCAGGGGCCAAGGCCCCTCCCCAGTGGGGCAGCATTAGGGCATGAGGCTCGGTTGAGTTAGCAGTCAAGACACCTAGAGTCTAGGACCTACTCTGCTACTGCCTAACTGCGCGACCTGAACAAAGTCCTGTCATTTCATCATCTGTTTATTAACTAATTTTAAAACATATTAAGGATAAAATGTATTACGCACCACTATGTGCCAGGCACTGTGGATGAATGGAGGACGTCCCTGTCTCCATGGAGGATCCTACCTCAATGGACTCTGAGCTCTCTCACCCAGGAGGTCACCTCTAGTCCTACAGAGATTCTCTCTCATGCCTCCAGCACCAAGCAGGGCTTGCAGTCCTAGACAAAGGACCACATGGCCCTCTCCAACGGCCTGCTACACCACAGACAGCCTCCTCAGCAGCCCTTGAGAGCCGCCAGAAGCACCGCTCTCAGCTGAAACCCCTCCACACCACAGCAGCCTGACAAGGGGACTTGGGGATCACCTGTGCCATATGCCCCTGAGACTTCTGGAAAGTACCTTTCTCAGTCACAGATTCCACAACCTAACAATACCCACTGACAGCTGAGGGACAGACTCATGCTGAAGTTCACTCCACTCACCTGCAGCTGGAATGGTTGCTAGAAATCTGCCCCCAATGTAAGACGGGTCAGTGAGGAAGTGGGAAGAGATCCATCCAACCTGCAGGTAGATGGGCCCACAGGAGACTGGTCACAGGTGCAGGAGAGCTGCATCTCCATCACCTGGCCCCAGGCCCCACACAGAGTCAGGGAATGGGCTCTGGGCATCAGGAGCACCCAGATATCCAAATGCCACCCTCGACCTACAGAATCAGAATACTTTGGGGTAGGGCATGGGAATATGCAACTTTTTTCAAGATACCTGGATGAGTATGACAAAGAAAGTCTGCCTGGGGACTTCTGTTAGGATAATAAGAATTGATGAATGGATGAAGGAGGGAAAGAGGGGAGAAGAAGCCAGGAAGGAGAAATGAATGGATGGATGGATGGACGGTGGATAATGAATGAATGGACAGATGATGGATC